TCGCGTCAACTTCGAGTGTGGCATGCTGTGATTTGATTCGCTTCTTTTTTGGTCGACCTTTTCTTTTGAACGTATTTGGTGAAAGATGCTCAGTCTTTACCGTCAGCGCACGTCAAGCATTCCGCGACATTACATGTGTGCGCGTCAAATCGTGTCGGAGGTCTAAGGCTCTTCTCATACGCAAATCGAACCATTTGCGTATGAGAAGAGCCAAACAGCTTTGGATCGACGGGAGTCGCTTTGAGTAACCACGTATGCACGGCAAACACGGCGATTGTACTCAACAATCGCGCTCTCACGCCTTCTCAGCTCTCTAGGGTTAAAAATGCGCCAGAATTAGCGCCGTGAGTGCTTCCTATTCACTTCTCGGGAATACTGCTTACAATTGGATCATACCAGTCACTTTCGATAAATCAGACATCTTACTAGAACCTCACTTAATGCTAACTTTGCGAAGCACAAAGCGCGATGTCAATATCGAGGCGGGTACCTGCCTTCACCTCCAGCTCGTGCTGTCGACAGCTATAATTATACCCATATACCCATGGGCTTGATAGTGCAGCTAGCAATAAACTCTTGATATTGGAATAAGGCCGAATACATTCGCTATTAAAGAGAATGTCGTGACGCACGACTTCGTCTTTTATCATGGATATGTGAGCATAAAGGGTCTGCGCAGGCGATGTCGCCTGCGCAGAAGTGAAATCTCAAACTCAAAAACTCTTGAGATCTCTTAAAGTGATAGTGGCGCGTTAAACTTCAAAAAAATTTGGGCTCTCGGCGAGCAGCCGACCATCAATCCTTTGTGGGCTTAATCTTGCTGCTACCAGATCAGCTCGCTGGTAGATAGTGGCCAACCCTCATTAGATTTCACGATTGTCGCAACGAGTCGAATCTCTTCAATAGTCCAATTCAGACATGGTCATCTCTCGGACACGATCGCAAGTCTGTACTATCGGATCAAAAGTTAGGCCTCGAGTCACATCAAGCAGTCAAATTGGTTTGCTACTGTGAAGCAAACGGTAACTCAGTTACATGGCCCTCTAGACTGAATTTTCTCTATAATCGAGCGATTCGCGTCCATGTGGGTCATGGTGGGTCATGGTAGCGAGATCGTGATATGGCTTTGATAAGTTCATAGTAAAAGCAGATCGCGTTCGCATTTTTTTATTCATTTTAAAAGGATAACACTATCAGCTCCTAGCTATACCTGTAATGGTCCAATGCAGTTACGGTGGTCCTCAGTATCAAAAACTGCAGATGTCTCATGTATGAGTGGGTCAATTTTGATCCTTGTCACATAGGACAAACTCATGTATGTTTCGCCTACCTTGTCATCCTATATACTTCTATCCGCTTGGCGCTTGGCGCTTGACGCCTGATCTCTTCTCTCAGATTGCTAGCAGGTTGATATTAGCAAGTCGATCACAATCGATTACTCTCCCATATCAAGACTGGAACGTCTTCTTGAAAGTCATGGAGATTACTCAAGCTAGTTGTAAACGAATTGATAAAGCCAAAGTATATCGTGATAAAACGTATACTGAATTAGCAGGCTTCAGCACCTCAGTCGATTTGCGCAAGTGCTTAATGTCCTAACTATTCCACGCAATTAACGCAATTAAAACGCGTTAGCCTGATCGAGTGACTATGCATGGTCCTTTGCGAACATTCCGAACCTGGTCAACCATTTTATACAAAATTTGCCCGAATTTAGCCCTAAAGGTATGAACCCGATCCGAGATAATTGCTAAAAAATCTGCAGAGGAACAACGTCACTGACAGTCACGAAACGAGCCATCTCGTTCAGACGACTCGTATCCAAAGCGTCTTTTTGGAAGGTCAAAACTGCATGATCATGAAATATTAGCACTATGATAGAAACGGCCGGCTCTAAAGCATGTGACAAGTGTTTGATCCGCTGGCACACTTCACACGTGTGCACAAAGTATGTAATTTTTGACCACCAGTACATTGTGGTGATCGTTTCTCGGCAAGATGACTCCTAAAGCAGTGTCGTGTATGTCTCATACAAAATTTAGAATTTGAGATCGTCATTATGAGGTACACATACGCGGCGTTTGTCAGGCGATTCCGTGCTGAGTATAGCACATATTAAGACAATGAATAGTGCTTACGAGCACCAAAATCATACATTTGAGGTGAAATACAAGCCTGGTCGGTGGGTGGATCAACTATTTCACTGCCCAGCATACAAACAATAGATAGCACAATGATGAGGTGGCGCATCAGTTATGTTGTTTTTAAGGCGTAAGAGTCGGATACAACTCGCCCTGCGCTTATAAACTCTGCAAACCAAGACTTCTCTAGAGAAGGCTAGCTATCTTGACAATGCCCAAACGAGATGTGGCGGCAACGGTGCGCGGTCTAACTTGGTAATGATTGCCTTCAAACTCTTTAGAGCCAGTATATATTAGGTATGTACCGTATTATGTTGTACAGGCACATTACACTATTTACACTATTGTTCCTTGACTTAGGGTTGAGTTCGGAAGTACCAAAGTAAAGTAATATAATGAAGCATTACGCTTAGTGAGCTATGTAATGGGGACACGTGGGATGTACGCCTAATGCCATGCACTACATGAAGCTCTTCAGTTTAGCTTGATAAATGTCGTAGCAACTTTAAAAACACTTAATGTTTGAATACAATGTGGATTTAAGCCCGCTCTTAGGCAAAGCGTACGAGCCCGTTCTCTGTGCGTTCGAAGTCGAGGACTCGTATAGGCAAGATTTTCTCTTCGGGGGATGCAAGGCAACCTGTCGCACTTTTTAGCATCTGTCTTCGATGATAAGCTAATGTCATTGGTTTGGATCGAGTGGAAAGCACAATTGATCGTCCATGGGCCAGATGTGATAAAATTTTGCCTGTAGGCATTCAATAAATCTGATGGGATACCTACAAAACGCGTTAATTAGACGCCAGTGGAGATACAACGGGCTCTCTTTGAGGGGCTGCTTCTATTAACCGCTTTTGATAAAAGAAGAATATGTTTCAAGACAAGACTGATTAAGGTGTTTTTAAAATTGCACAATTTCGACGGTGCATGGCTTTTCGCTCAAAACTTACTGGAAGTTCCATTTCCAATATTCTAACTGTTGATGCGACCGATCGATGTCGCGAAAGTCTGCACATCCACAACTCGGTTACCGTGATGAATCTGTCAGGAGATGCGATACTTAGCGAAGTGTGTCCCAAAAGCAGATGACTTTAATCGCCGCGATAGCTGCAGACCCTGTCCAAGAGGCGACCACGAATCCTATCATCATAACGGGGTCCCGGAGAGATGCTGCTTGCAGCGAGACCTGCTGCGTTTGCCTAATTTCTAGCGGATGTTACTTAAGTGTCATTGGATGCAAAAAAACTTTCGTTTTATAAATGCAGGATAGAGCGCGGGAGGTGGAGACTCAATAAGTGCGCCAAAGGTGATAAGCTACCACACCGTGGAGGAAAAGAGCATCCGGGCTCCAAAGAACTAAAACATGGCATCCGCCTATATTACGATATCAAACATTTGCGCCTTACGCATCCTTTAATGCAACAGGATTGTCATGCACTTCGCACCGGGAAAACTTTGACTCGCAGAGGTTGCACAAAGACTGGATGAGTGCGCTTCTCCGAAAGCAGACTTTAGCGCCAAAGCCAACTAACACTTTGGTAGTAAATACATTTAAAACAATTATTTTTGTTTTATCTTCAATAAGACGTTTTATAACTTCCCACAATACTTTCTGAAGTGCGGCTGTACCTTGAAAATCCACAGTCGGAGCTCGGTAATTGTCATAGATACCGATTCTACTGTCCACATGGATATTCACAATTACACCAAGTGATATATATATATGAAGTTCGTTCAATCGTACAGTATAGTATATAATTGAATGGTATCAAATGTGCAAGGGTGAAGCACAAAGAATGACAGTGCTTGTTCCGATACGCTTCTTCGCTTATATGTAGGCCAAACCGAGATTTACGCTTATTTCCAAGACACCGCACCGATACGTCCAGTATACTCTTTGTACTTGACCATATTACTTTTCTAGGCACACTTGCAACGGGATTTCGCTGTCGCGCACCAAATCACACAGCGAGCTCCACTAGAATGCGAAGGTTTTCGCGGATACAGCGATCCCAGTGACTTTCCGAGTACCGACAATGCACCTCCGCACTCAACTAGTGGGACACGAGTTTGCCATTTTCCGACGGGAGGTCACTTACGGTGCTCAGCCTTCCCACTGCACTACTTCAAGACTCTGTGCGCTTAAAATTAGGTCAGGATGTGACACCCTGCGTTAATCTTCCGACGATGTCAAGGTTGCTCTGTTACAAGTACCAAAGTCACGTCTACTCGTGGATAAGTAATTGCGCCGTGATCGCGAAGTCCTACAAGCCCAAGCATGTGAGACTCCGCGCACAATTAGAGAAAAATGAGCGCGAAAAATTCGTCTCGGGATTGCTATTTCTGTCGACAGGTGGTTGCTTTCTGTATGAGCAATGTGCAGCAGTGGCTGTGAAAACCCGTTCCCTCCATGAGGAATGCACCTGGGTACTAGAAACTACCAAAAGTGCCGCTGAGTATCAGATTTTGTTTTTTCGCGCGCCGGGAAAGAAAATACGTCGCCTCACCCCTCTAATGACTTGACAACCAGCTTCAGCAAAACAGAAGACCATCTAGAGCGTCATCTCATGCTTGACTTTGGAAAGTACAAAGCATGACGGACATCCCACCTTCGCAGGTTTCTGCTGCTTACAGACCTGCATGTCTTCATGAGATAGCGTAAGCAGCTAACACCAAAATTCGTTACACCGCTAGGTCATTCACCACCTACAATTAGGAAGCGTATCGCGACGGCCAAACCTGGTCGAGACCATGGCACCAGAGCGATCTTTCTGAAGTAAACCTTAAACTTCAGACTAGGGGTATCCTTTTCACTTCACCCAGAACCGGTAATTGCCTTTAATAGTCGTCGGCTCACCAACGGTTTAGGTAAAAGTGGCCGTCCGTTGCTCATCGAGCAGTGTCGGCGGAGGTCGACCCTCTCGCATTCTTGTAGGCTCTTTTCGGTTGTGGCGGCATGTCGACTCTTTCCGTGAGTCAAGGCGTACGACCGATGTTAAAATGAACCAAATTTTGGATTCTGTCTTTGGTTGCCATTGTACCGCCCCATTTGCGGCATCTTCAGCGGTTCAGAACGTGTAGCTACTTTAAGTAGAAGAGTGACTCAGCTATGGGGGGATTATAGCTGCGTTGCTCCGTTTGCAATAGAGCCTTTCACGTCCTACCAACTAGTAAGAGCTGGGACTTGGTATGGCTTGAGAATACCATACAGAATGCAGGTTGTGTTTGCATTCTTTTCGGAATATTTGAGCCTGAAAATTCTCTTTTGCTTCGACCACGAACAAAAAGTGTAGTGCGGTCGCAGCTTTGTCTTGCAAATTGCAAACACTACGTGTGTATGTATATTATTTGCACTTAGAAATTCTCTTACCCCGCATCATTTTCGTATGTATTTTGGCTGGCTCTGGATCGGCGTATTGCCTTCGTTCGTGTTGGCTCTTAGCCGGAGCGTCGTTCATCCATCGCATGGCGCTTTATCTCATCAAAATAAAATCACTACTTTTGCTACGAAGTATATTATGAGCACGTTGATTTCTATTGGTCCCTCTTCCGCATAGATAACCGATTTTTGTGGCGGCCTGAAAAGCACGGAAGGTCACCAAACCACTTCTGTACGATAAGATGAATCTTGTACAGGCATTTACAGCGTATTTATCGCAAACATAATGAACAGCTCGATCCAGCACCGCGGTCTTTTCGCTCAAGTGCTAGTGAGGATACCCACCACAAAGTTATTTCCGCGTTCTATCTGACGATCTGTTTGCAGATCGTCAGCGGTTGACTTATACCGAGTAGTTCGGTTAGTACTTATTAAAACTTCGCTATTAAGCGTGGATTGCTATTCGACACTATGGCATTTGACAAGCAAAGTTGGCGAATCACTTTGTCATAGAGCAGCTTGACTCTATCCTCACCTGATAATATCGCTGGAAGTCGCTAGCTAATGAGCCATATTGCGCAGAAGTGCCAAAAAAACACAATACCGGTATTTCCGGACGCGTATTCAGAAAACTCACAAATAAAAACTATACGGATGGAATGTCAGCATTCTGCTGGGACCGGTAGGCTGAAAAAAGTGCAGCTGCATGCGGCGGGTTTGACCTCCTGACACGATTTGCACTAGCGCACACATGAGGTTATCATATTACCGCGCCATCGATCTGAATATCTTATCTCTTATGAGATGGCCACCAAAAGGATACCATGCACCTTGTTCAGTATCCAATAGGACATGTGCTCATCATGAGGCACAAATACACGTCAAGTGCCATAAAAATTCAGCACGTCAGCACAGCAAGCCTTGGGATAAGACATAGCGGTGTAGGTGTGCAACTGCGCGCTATGACAAAGCAAAACCTTAGACTCTCAAATCCCTTGCTTCAGATCTTTCATCAGTAAAAAATATGTTATGTCTGACCTGTACGATGTTTGTATCGCCTATTGTCAGCATTGTGACGTGTGACAGCTTATTGCCGGGGCGATGCGAAGGCATACCCACCATCACAACACGCCGACCCGGGTTACAACTTACTTCAACGGTATGCTCGCAAAGGATTATCTCAGAAAGATGTGGTTTTGACGTCGCGGTGCGCAGCAACACATGAGCTGTATAGATTACATCGGCGTAGATTCAAGCAGATTCACCCTAGGGCATCCTTCATTGAAAATAGCTCCATATCATAAACAAGGTAGTTCTTCTCAGCAAATTTTAGCTGGGTAAACTCAAACGTAATCTTGCGTTTATAAATATTGGCATCTGCTTTGTGTCAAGCACAGCCTATTGTAAAGGCTGAATATCACAGACGACGAGGAATGACCGACCTAGATTTGGGAGCGCTTGAATCGAAGCACGCACGAGGGAGTTACTTACACTCTAGAAAGCCGCTCCATCTGCCAGTCTTTAACACTATTCTACATCGATTAAAGATATTAGTGAGGGTCATGCAATGTCGGCACAGTTGGTACTGTACCTGTCCAATCAATCCACCCAGAACATACCACTTCCAATATTCCTTTTAGAACAGAGGCAATGATCAATTTACGATGTCCGTAATTTTAGAAAGTCTGTCCGCAGATCCAAATTTCCAATGATGCAACTCAAAAATGGAATTCCTTTGGCGCCAAAGACACGCTTATTCATGTTATTAAACATGTTACTTAAGCGCATATACTCAGGACAGCTCGCAATAGTTCAGTATGGCTCTCCACATCCGAATTCTCGTGCTCTGCTCTATTACGGATATATATGTTGTGGAACAAAAGCTATGCATAGCCACAGTGTGGCATCAACAGCTGTGTCACTAGACCATTGAACGCTGCTGACGCATCGAACAGTCTCTGTGGCATATCTACCCGCGCTCAAAGCATCCCGCTCGGAGTACTCACCGTAGTGAAGGGAGTATTGCTGTTTCTCACGAAATAATTTTACTAGCAAGGTCAAGCCCAGTGAGAATTCAGCCGATCGTGCTGTTCTACCGCACATGATTATTAGGATTCAATGTTTGAGCTGGAATATGTAACTACATGCGTATTAAAAGGAGGCTTAGTTATCCTCTTGTTGTTAGCCGTTCTAACACAGAATGTCGGCGTTGACTGGAGAGATTAACTATCTCGCTTCGTGCATCGCGCATGAAAATGCTTCAGCGACGTCATACCGCTTGATGGGTAAATGTCACTGCCATGCGACACATGAATTGGTTCCCGGAACAAAGTCAATTTCATGACAATCTTCCATTTCCGGACATTAGACTCGTGGCTGGTCTCTCTTCACATTGTCGTGGTAATTCTATTGCAAAAGATAGAGAGAATTCTTGCTAATTGCCGTCCCACTTCTCGCACTCGGTGCTTGAAGTATCTTTACTAATGGACCACCCATGACAGATATTGAAGTCAGGTTCTCTTTCAGTATCAATCTTCCTGTTATGATGACTTCACGCTTTTGTGAACGTTTGCTCACATTTCATGATGTTATGCTCCTCAGCTTAATGAGAGATTCTTCTTTATGAGAGAGGGGACGTACAGCTCGGTCACATCGTTCATCTTGCCGCATACCCGCAGATCATCCATGCTGCGCCGGATGTACGGTAGAACTGACTCAACAGTATTGTTACATCGTGTCGAGGAGAAATCGTTCTACTTTGCAGCCAAACCTAACCTTTTTTACTTGCGGCTTACAGTAATCCTTCGACTTCACTGTCTGAGTGTGGGGATAGTGACTCCCAGTCGCGTCAACTTTTTACCTGTTCTGGTAATGGAGACAGCAGCTCACAGCTGTACAGAATCGTTCCACCGAAGATTCAGTTTTTGTATAGCGAGATGTAATATCTCTATACTGTCGCAGTAGGGATATGCTCTGGAGACCACGATATATAATAGCTTCTCTCTGTTTCACTCGAAACGCGCCTTACTACCGCTTCTGTATTCTAATTTAACCCAAGGCATCAACCAATAATATCGCAACCAATTTTAAAACTTTTCATGTCCCATCGCAGCTTTGTGCTCGCGTAAAAGGCACTTCTGTTTCCTGGCAGAGATGGGCTAATGACTCGCCAATGATTCACAAGGAGAGAAGTGCACGGTACCTAACGTTTTCGGCCTCTAGTAACGTCGTGGCGTTCCGACCACACAACATCTAGAATGAGATTGTAGTCCAAATCTAGAGACTACGTTTCTTGCTATTAAAGATCTCAAACTGTATCTTAGGGTTCAACATTAGCTTTAGTACTTTTGCCTATGTGCCGTGGCGAGACGCATAAATACTTCATTCGAATTTGGCATCTTCAACACCTTCGCGTATTGTCTACTGTTTCTGGTAGTCGAGTGTCGTACGTAGTTGCACAACACTTATGAGTATATTAAGACTTTCCACGGCTTCACAAACCCAAGGACGTTGAAATGCAACAACCCTACGCTATGGGTCTCACCTTTCTCAGAAATAGTATGACTGCTCATTGGGCTTGGTTATGTTTATCATGACTTCCATGAGGCACGAAACGACCCAGTTCTTTCCGGTAGTCCGCACTGCGCTTACTGGGATCGACATTCCCTTGTGAGAAGTTCACCATTCGCCCTTGTGATGTAGATCGGCCCTTCTTACCTCTCGGCTTATAGCAAATAGGGCACACAAGGCACAGATGTTTTGCGCTATCGTAGATGAAACATTTGCTGGTACCGTGGAGCTACTTGGCAGTAAATAAATCTCTCTAGTTTTTCCTCAACATGGCCGAAGAACATCGCCTCTGGTGCGCTCGTAGAGCTTATGCCTTCGCGGCATGGAAGTACCGATTCGCACCGAGCGCAACACTTGCCGCTTCATTGTAGGATGTAGAATAGAAGATTTCGGTGTAAAGCGCACCCTTTCGGACACTCTATTGAAAATGGCAGCTGTCGTCATCTATAGGAGAGAGTGATGCATTGTGAAAGTTATTCAAATATTGGACGTTGTCCGCCAGTTCTATTGTCCAATGTTGGAAATTTTTGTCGTTGGTTTTGGCTATGTGCTACTCAATTTTCTGGTGTAAATTAAAATCCATCATAGCACTAAGGATTCTCAATGCGAATATCATATCCAGCGTCTTGATAGAGACAGTCATAAAAATGCTGAAGGCTCTTCTAAGCTTTTTAGGAACTACCTCTGTCTACCACAATTTAGGATACAATCTCATCCTAAATATGGCGTGTCTGGAACGCCATGAGCTATATAAATCGAGAGATAGTCGAAGACATGAGTTACCACGTATCGAGAGCTTCGGTGATTCATAATCCTGACCCCGCTTCTCTCCTTCCAGATTACCAATAAAGGGGGTGTTCGATCTGTTGCGGTCACAGCACGAACTGGTACAGTAGCATTAGCACAATGTCAGCTATCATCGACTATAGCACGTCTTGGACTTGTGCACTCCAGATTGTGATGCAACCAACCAATTCTACGTCAGCATAAATCATTAGTTTTGTTCTTTTACGTTACGAGAGACCAGGGCGTCTCCTAATAGCTGAATTCCACGCGGCAGGTGTTACAAAGCCGTAGAGCTCGTCATTTATCAAAGCCTTCCGCTTTGTATTTGTAAAAATCCGTTAACGAAGGCACTTCACTTTGCAGCAAGAAGATATGTATATTCAAAGAGCAAAGTTCGAGAGATCCAGCTCCCACTTCACATTCTCTGGGTTACTTGGTACCTTAATCGTATCTGCTGACAGATCTACGACTGATGTCTGAGTTACCTCATCAATTCTTTTGTTTTGAGCTTGTGAAAACTGCCAGTCGTTCGGTTGCTTTGTCTCTACTGATGCCAAATCACTCTGATGCTGATCACTGCTTCTGCTTGACAATAATGCTCGGCTGGGTATGTCTTTTACTTTTCTGCTATGAGTTCGCCGACCTGTGATACTGCTTTTGATGTTGGTATTGCTACCAACACTACAAGCCACACTGTGCTCACTGGCAGAAGAGGAGAAACACGCAGCATCTACAGATGAAGAAAATGAGCCCCAAGACGATTTGGATGCAAATACTTTTGTGGTTAGACGATCTCGTTGGTATTGTCCATTGTGAAAATGAAGGTCCGCAAGAGTAGGACCATCTATGATTGATTGAGTTGACAGATCAGCACTATGTTGAGTATTCATTGATTGTATCGGGGTGATCAGTTCACTGAGTGGATAATGGTTATTCATCTCTTCAGTCTCTGTTGCTTGATCCCTCACGCATATCGTAGTTTGTTGCTGCTGATCAACGGTATAATTACAACTGGTGGATGCATCTCGACTCTTCCTACCTTCATCTTGAGCTGCACCATTAAAAGCTTTGACGACAGTATCTTGACTGCTCTTACATTTATCCTTAGCTGCACTGTCGACCGCTCGGCGACTGTAAAACTGTTGCATCTTTCTTTCTAGCATATCTTGAAACATTTCCAAAGATGACGCAGTATGTGACTTCTGTTGATATTGACAAGACCGCCGAGAGCAGCAATTGTCTGACTTTTGATCGACGTCATTGGAATCATTGCCTTTTGTCTTACATGCTACCTGCACAACAGCAGGTTTCGTGGGTCGATGGTGTTCGATAGCAGCGTTCACTGCCACTGATAGCTCTTCAAGAGTCATTCCTCGAGACTCTTCAGGATTTTGAGAGCTTTGCGACGACATTCGTGACTCTATTTCCGAGCACGATCCACACTCATCATCGTCGCTTGTGTAATCGCTGTCTTCATCAAAATAGAGTTTTACTAGATCTGCAAGAGCTCGTCTTGCCACTTCACGGTCCTGATCGACATTCACGTGCTGAAGACCGTTGAAAAAGTTACTTGAGTTATCAACTGGAGCTTCGTTGGCTTGTTCCTGACTGCACGTGCTGTCGTAACTTGAAAACGAGGAGGATGGTGATACAGATCTTCGAGAAGAAACCATGAATGTAACAGTGCCTTTGTAACGGAAAGTCACTAACCGGAACGGAATGCAAGTGTGCGTATATTGTTTATGATTCTTTAAAAAATGTGAGTGGGTAGCACTCTCAGCAATTTAACGCATCCAGTTCGATCGTATCCTACCATACTTGTCCCTTCCTCGCAAACTCTAATCGACTTTAATGGAAGCGTAGATCTTGCGTGTGAACCAGAGCGAAGCACCAACACCTACGGCACCCGTCAATAGCGCTAGTGCACCCGAGATAACGGCCATGTAGCCAAAATAAAGCATGGCGCCTATAAAATTCGCCACGTCCAAACGCGTCCAGAAGTAGTACGTCGAATAGAGAAATACGTAGACACCGCAAGCACCGGACACAAAGAATGACCGCCACCACCTGTATAATCAAGCACAAACTTAGACAACCCACACTGAAAGAGCTTTACGTCCAAAGACATACCAATTATAATCTTCAGCGCAGAGCTGAAAGTACGTGAGGACAATTGTAATTTCCGCGCACGTGTTGATCAAAATGAGAAATGCTAGCAGCAGAAAGCCAAAGACGTAGTAGTACTTGTCTGTCCACAAAGCTGAGAGCACGAAAAAGAGCTCTACAAAGATGGCACCAAAAGGCAGGACGCCACCCACTGCCGCTGCCGTCACGTGAGTCATGTACCATGGTTGAGGTGGGATGGGACGCGGGATGTTGCTCGTCGCCACAGGAAATGCCATCGATGGGTTCCTAGGAGAGTTTCAAATAATAAGATCGCCTTCCATTAACTACCTAAAAACATGCGTACCTGAAACCAAAGTAGGCCCCTGCAAACACTAGCGGTACAGAAATGCCAGTCCAGAGGAAGAAGACAAGAAGTATCGAGCCGAATGGTACTGCAGCGTCTGAGCCAGCACCCCAGACAAACAAATTGAGAAAAAAGAAGAGCGAGAACATGATGCCCGGGAAAAGTACAGCTGTAAGGACGGTGCACATTTGCCAGCGCTTGCCCTTAAACATCTTGTACATACGCGCTGAGGTGAATCCAGCCAGTATACCCAAGAGCACAAAGCACACAAGGAGAGCAATCACCAGCTTGCCTCGATTAGAAGGCGCTAAAACGCCCACAGCCGCGAAAAAGAGCGTGACGAACGCCATACCTAGAAGCTGACAGCCTGTACCCACCATAACGCAGAAAAGCATCGGATTCTTGGACGGCGGACGGAACACGTCAGCGTGCACAAGTTTCCAACCCGATTCTTCACGCTCTTCAGCGCGCTCTTCCTCTGTCGGCACGCGATTGTAGCGGCTAATATCACGGTGAAGACTGCGCATGAGAATCATTCCAACCATTCCACTAAGGAAAAGTACGATCACGAGAGCATTGATGATTGAAAACCAATGCACTTCATCACCGCCTGAACCAGCATCAAAGTAGACGTCCCAACGAGTACGCCAATCATGCTCGTTATCGAGAACCCATTCGACACTGTACGTCCAGTAAACGGGCATCTTGCCATCCTTGTTCTTGCGCACATATAGTGGACTTTTCAGATCACTCGAATGCTCACATGAATCCATACGATTTTTGGCCTTATCATAATTTCGAAATGCATAATCCAAACTATATGGAATGACCTTAAAATCCACAATGCGTCCTTCTTCTTCAGATGCTGTCGTACCTATCGGATGATTGTTGTAACCAATAAGTATCTTAACGTGATTATTAAGTTGTGGTACCACTTCCACTTCAGGATTAAAGCTTCCAAGAGGAAAACCGACTGTCATGCCACCTTCAGGCGATACGGACGTAGCCGGTAGGTTGTCTAAGATCCAGTTCACACGATACGAGTCCTTAATTGTATCTTCCCACGTCTTGACATCCACCTCTTCGTATTCCTGCTGACATAAAACGGTACATTGCTGTCCCTCAAGAAACTTAATCTCATATGGGGAATTCTGAATACGGTTAGCAGTTAGGTACTCGCCCAGATTCTCTGACTTGTACTCGATCTTTTCGGGCTACACATAAACTCAAAATGAGCCTCAAAATAGCCTTTCTCTAAAGGAATTATGAGCAAATTACCTGGCAAAAAGGTAGCTTGTAGTAATCGAGAGGTAATAGCGTCTCGGATGACTTTAAACTGTTGACGAAGAGAGGAAGAGGTTCACTCTTCGTGTATGTCGTCATCTGCACACCCGGGAGTAAGAAACTCTCAGTATATGGAGCCATTACAGCGGCCGCCGTAAGTGCGGCGAGCGACTTCGACGATCCCATCCTTTAATGCAGTATTAGCTGACTGGCGGCCCCTTACAATTAAACCCCGTCAAAGTCGGAGAGCGGATTTACATACTGTGTACATAATTTAATCATGTCGTTATATTACTAAAGAAAAAAAGTGTCTACAACTCGTCACCTTCCCAGTCGTCAGAAAACGTGCTTAATTGATCAAGTCGAAGCTCCTCACCCTGCCAACCACCACCTTCGTATACATCTTTTTCTAATACGTAATTTCCAGCTAATTCACAGCCAGTGTGTACGGCAGTCCCGGCTTCTAAATATTGCACACCCTCAGGCGAAATGCCATCGATCAGCACGTCTCCAACCTTTGTAGCTCGAACCGGATGTATTGAAGTGCACGAACAACCGTCTACGTCACAATCGCGAATCTCTTCTTCATCCATAATCTCGTCATTAAACAAAGCAAGCTGAAGTCGTATTTGCCCTACAATGGTGTCGCCTGCTTCAATAGGATAACTTTTATCTTCAAAACTACGTCCGATTAGCATTTCTACTTTTAAAGAAAGCTCCCCAATGAGCGTACTTGGCAGAATGCAATACAACGTAGTTAGGAATGAGATTCGAGTCAAAGTATGTAGATCATCATACTCTTTGACAGTGTTGTCGTTCATCACGCGAATCACAAGAAAGTCATGCTCGATACATCGCACGCCGACAGTAATACCCTCGATCCAGCGTGGATTCTTTCCTATGAGATCAACTGCCACATTAGCAATGGCTATAACATGCGATTAAGTGTCTTACCTCCATTGTCGTGAGTTTTCGTTCTATAAATCAAATCTTTGGCGGACGGCGTTCGGTTTCGACCGAGGTAAGCTTCACAGTATGGGTCTTGCGTGCCAAATGCTTGAATATCACGCAGCTTACTACCCGAGATAAGACCTAAGTAGAGTTTGGATTTCCCAGGAATGAAATGCATTGGATATTCGCCAAACTTGACGCGAGGCTGTGAGGTCGGGTTTTCTGTAGGACAAAGTCAAATATCATCGTCACCCCCTTTTGTCTCATTAAGCATTGCTTATTTAAGTATCAGCGTACCATGACCCAGTGAGAGATACATCAGCACCTTCAGATAACCCTGGGGGGTCAGTGCGAATTCTTTCTCCATGGACCTTCCACGCGAAAGGTCTCGCATTGCAAGCGCGATTTCTCCAATCACTGTACTGCGGAAACAGCATCGTCAGCTACATAAAGTCCTCGTACTCAATCGTTTTATCTTCATACTTTTTCCCCCAATTGTTGTTTTTAATGCGAAAGCGCACGACGTCGGTTGAGATATCGGGAATCAAAATGTGGCCCTTGGCGTTCCACATTGGCTGCGTCCCTATCGATTGCAATTGGCAGTGTCAAGATAAGATCATCAACACAACAACAACGTTATCCATTATTCTCATATTTATCAACCTCCATTGTCGTGTGTGTCTGTTTTAAACGCCGCTTTCTCTTGTTCCTTTCCTCCTGTTGTTAAGTACACACTGCAATACGGGTCTTGTTCGCCCAATGTCTGAACCTTTTTCAAGCTACGGGCTGAGAGAATCGTCAGATACAATATGGAATCGTTACGCAGCGCCGTTGGCATTCCAGCTATGCTGCTGCTGACGGACGAGCGGTGGCTCATGGATGACCTCATTCGCGATGCAAAAAGCGTTGACCGAATAAAATTTGTCTTCTGGAGTCTGATTCAAGAGATCCAGTGTAATAAGCGTTGTATTCGTATTATTCTTATCGGCATGAAAACCTATCGATTAGATCAACCACAAAGTTACATTAGTGCTGCTCTCGTCGTAAACCTTTTACTTAGCACAGGTAAATAAAGCAAGCAAAAGACGTTCTGACAAAGGAGAAAACTTTATAAAAAAAATCAAAAATGCATTTTAAGAAGAAAATGAGAGATTCGTTCTTGAAATGCGTCATCAATGTGACTTTGTAGCCGCGTGCAATACTTCGTCATTTAATTCGAGATAGAGACGACAAAGGCCACGGCAATAAGAGCAACTGAAGCAGCCAGCGAGGATGCGTCACTAGAGGTTGAGTTGTTTCGACGGTTCGATCTGCCCGCTCCGCTCGAGCCAGTATCCACTTTGCGCGAACACTGGTCTCCAG